ACCGAAACAACCCGCGATGATAGCAAAACTGAAACTGTGACAAACAAGTATGGGCATGTCATAGCACACATGGCGCAGCGATCGACATGCCATAGCTTACTGAGCGCTCTGGGACCACATGCGTGTTTCACCCATATACGAAAAGCGGTAGCGGAGCAATGATTTCCAAGCACAATGCAATGGTCGGCATACTAGCGCATTCAAACGATTCAATAAGTGGGACTGTGTGCATTGCTCAGCTGGCGCTCTTCGTATGTGCTCAGAGAGCGCTCAGCATTCTTTAGGGGTGGCTCACAAGCATGAATATGTTCCACTCTCAAACCAAATCGTGGTTGCCTCAACTAAGATTTGAAACTTTCAGTCAGTATGGGAGGTGCTACGCCTCTTTTCCAAAAACGTCCATTTTTCTCCGTGAATATGAACATGATTTTACACAGTGTTGGCAAACTGTTAATCTGATTAACGATTAAAATTTTAATCGCGTTTGACGATTAAAATTAATTAGTCGTAATCAACTGTACGATTAATGATAACATTTTTTTATCGTTAATCGCTGGCTGCGATTACGTTTAATTAATTTAAAACATTAATCGTTAATCAAATTAAAAATAGAATCTGATTAATTTGTCTAGTTTGTTCGAGTTTGAAACCAAACACCAGTTATAGTAATTATTTTGTGTTTTACGCTTATAAAAAGCACATAATATAAAAAAATTATAATTATTGTTATAAGTAATACATAAACTGGGAACTTTTACAAACCTAGTTTGTAAAACGTTTGTTGGTATATATCTTAATGAAAATGCACCCCAAATTGCTCAGATTGATGAGGAAACCCGACTTAGCCATACCGGATTAACTTGGTTTGTGTGCACAGGGAAATTCCAGCATAACTTAATTAATCACCAAACCTACTTGATCAAATTAAGAGTTAATGATTAAAAATTAATTTTTTAATCGCGGTTATGATTAACTGTTTAGTCAGATTAAAATTAATCATGATTAACTGTAATCAGATTGAATTTAATCGAATTAACTAACTGATTAAAACATCAATCGATTAATGCCAACATTGATTTCACATACATATCACAATACCAAGTTTCAGTTCTCCCCCACAAGTACTTCCAGAGATATATATGTAATATGAAAATTCCAATTTGTATTAGGGAGGGGCCTTGAGTTACCAGACTTACTTTCAGTCTAAGACCATCCTTCCGTAATCCGTAGTAAGTGTACTAAATTTCGTTCTGATCGGAAAACCGGTTAAGGAAGTAGCCTATTTTTCAATCCAGGTCATAAACCATCTTTGAGCAAAATTTCATTTTCAAACAGGTGGAAATTCTTAAAAAAGTAGCCTATTTTCCAGTGTAGGTCATACGCTATCTGTGTGCAAACTTTCATGCAAATCAGTTCTGTCATTTACGCGTATTAATTTAATTAAACTTTCCTAATACGTGATAAATCTTAAAATAGTAGCCTATTTTCCAACATAGGTCATAAGCTATCTCTGTGCGAAATGTCATGCAAATCTGTTCAGTCGTTTCCGCGTATTAATTTAATTAAACTTTTTTAACAGGTGGCAGCTCTTCCAAAAAATTAGCCTATTTCCCACTGTAGGTCATAAGCTATCTGCTTGCAAAATTTCATGCAAATCCATTCAGTCGTTTCCAGGTATTAATTTAATGAAACTTTTTTAACAGGTGGCAACTCTTAAGAAAAGTAGCCTATTTTCCAATCTAGGTCATAAGCTATCTGTGTGCAAATTTTCATGCAAATCCATTCAGTCGTTCCCGCTTATTAAATAAGTGAAACTTTTTTAACAGGTGGCAACTTTTAAGAAGATAGCCTATTAACCAATCTGGCCCATAAGCTATCTGCGTACAAAATTTCATGCAAATCCGGTGTGAGTTGGTTAAGCTTGTTCGGTTCTAACTTTTCTGGAGGATCTGTATGTACATATGTATCAATACTAAAGGGTACATACTTACATACATATATGAGTTAGTTCTCCTTTTGATTTAAATTTTGTTGTAAATATAAATATTTATATGAACCTGCAAATAAGCAGACATACTTA